TGGCAAAAACATTTCTTCCAACTGGTGTTAGATGCAGCCCATCCCTTACCAGGAGTCCGTCCTCATGGAACGGCAGCCCATGATCCAAGAATCCAAATCGTTCTCGACGACACCATCTGCGGACCTTTCTATATCAGAGAGTTCTGTTGCCCCACCAAAGTACACATACCAGGATTCCATCACATTAAGCCATGACAGTTTAATTGGGGTCAAACTGCTTTATTTGTGTAGTGCAGAGGTAGCCATGGTTAAATCCAGTTGTCTGCTCCAACTAGAGTAAACCCATTGAATCAGTGGGCTCTTGATAAGTTAACACTAGTGGAAGTTTAATGATTCAATTGGTCTACTCAAGTTTGGGAAAATTATTGAATTTAGGCTAGGTGTGTCTAAATCCAAGATGGTGTTGGGATAAATGACTCATCATTCTTACTACTAGATTTGCATATCAGGGCTGCTGGGATTTGAAGTCTAACAAGACTGGAAGTAAAATTTATACCTAAAATATAGCCCCAAGTGATGGACTACTTTGCCAGATATCAAAGGCTGGATATACTTTCCTAGGAAAAAACAATGAGATTTTGGACTAATATTTATTTATTTATTTATTTCATTTTTTTTAAATTTTGTCCCAGAAAGGGACTCAAAGTGGCTCAAAAGATTAAAAAAAACATTTTAAAACTTTACAATAAGAATTTAGAAACAGTTAAAATCATCTCATTAAAACAATATAAAATTAACATAAAAACATACAAAAAGTTAAAGCATAACTAAGATATACACCTCATATAGAAACCAGACTGTCATGATTTTATCATGTAAACCACCTCAGTTGTATTTTACAGAGAGGTGGAATATTTATTATTATTATTATTATTATTATTATTATTATTATTATTATGAGCCAGAACAGACCGGCTCTAAAAGCTGGCTTCCAGGCAGCTTGAGAGTGAGACATCTTGAAGCCACCTGATTACCCAGGCGGGGATGGTTTCATGATGCTCTGATGTCACAGAGTGTACATGCTGCCTGTAGTCAAAGGGCCTTTGCAGACTGCCAGAAATAGTACAAATTGAGTCCACTTTAACTGCCCTGGCTCAGTGCTAGGGAATCATGGGAATTGTATTTTTTCTGAGATATTGAGCCTTCTCTGTCAGAGAGCTCTGGTGCCACAATAAACTACAGTTCCCATGATTCCCTAGCACTGAGTCTGGGCAGTTAAAGTGGACTCAGTTTGCACTATTTCTGGCAGTCTGCAAAGGCCCAAAGTGTCATGAAGCTGCAGTGAGACAGGAAATCCGGCTTTTTGCCATACGAAAAAGGAGTGGATCTTTGATGCTCCTTTTTTGGCTGGCTTCAAGATAGATTGAGGCCACAGCATGTATTTACTGTTCCCTCAATCCACCTTTGGAAGGGGCAGCTTCAAGCCACCCCTTCTGCTCAGCTGTTTCGCCCGAAAGTTAAAAAGCTTGCCTAAATGAAAACGTTTTTGCTTGCCAGCGAAAGGCAAGCAGGGAGGGGGCCAGTCTAGACTTCCGTGGAAGGGCATTCCAGAGGTTGGGAGCAGCCACCAAGAAGGCTCTCTTTCTGATGTCCTTCCAAATTGATGGCTTTAATTTTAGTTTGACAAAAACAGTGATTGGATCAGGATATCCCCAGGGTGGATGGACAGGGAAGTTGGAATGGAAACATAACAGCGGGTGGGTAAGGAGATTGGCTTACTGCTCCCTTGGCTTACTTTCTTCCTTTGAAATCCAGGATGACTCCATCCTTTGTGTGCTACAACCCCCATGGCTAGGCAGTGTTATTTTCTTTTTATTGTCTCAAGTTTACTTTATATAATTAATTAATTAATTAATTTCTATCTTGCTTTTCTCCTAAAAAGGGACCCAAGGTGGTTCACAATATAAAACACATTAATAAAACATTTTTAAAAACAATTAAAATAACCTAATTAAAACACCACAAAGTTAAAATGGTGTCTGACCCTATTGTTAGTTCTACATCATGTGGAAAGAGATCCTTGTGGATCCGTTCTATGGCAGCATTTGCCCATTTTAAAATTATTTTAACTTCTTTCACATGATCATTTCTTTTTTCCTTTTCTTTTTTTTAAAAAAAGTTTGTTTTAGGTGTTAGCTAAATAGCATGTTAGAAACTGTACCACTGGTTTATATACTGCAAGATAATGTCAGAATTATTACTTCTTGTAACAATAATGGAAATATTTTCTGTACAGGAAATGAAACGTTTTCTATCTCAATTTTGCCATCCTTTCAAAACTGGTTGGCAAACAATTGCATCAGCGTGGTCAGAAGTTGAAGGAAAAACCACCATTTGTCATCCAAAAAATATCCTCAGTTGTTGAGACTGCTTTTATCTGGACTCTAAAAATGGCTTTCACATTTATCATGTAAACTGTTTTTGTTTTATTTTGTGTTTTTAAAAAAACAAAACACACATCTAGGAGAAATATAACATTTCCTGATTCTCTGGTTGATATGGTATTAGGTTCACAACTTATACAATGGGAAGGAGGGGGGACCTGTCTCCTAGTTCTCCTTTAATTGCAGTGCCTACTTGTACTGTAAATCTTACATTCCTGACAACATTTTTACTTCTGATTTCATTTATGTTTTCTCACTCTCTTCACTGAAAAGTCAATAGAATTTCACTGGCTTTTTCTGTTTACAAAATCACTGCTGTATGTACAACAGAACTGCACTGTGATTTGAAGAGAGGGGGGTAAGTGTTCCTTTTTCAGTCAATGTCTAAAAGCTAGAAAATAACACCTTTAAGCCATGCTGTGACAAATTGAAGCTTTCTTGGAGAATCACATTAATTCCACATTGGTAAAAGGATGTAGAAGGAGTGGGAGCAAAGAAGTACCATACTACTTAAATCTTTTTATGTGGTAATCTTTTAAAATTATTCAGCTATCATACCAGTAAATTGCTTAATAAGTATATTAAAGTAGCTAAAACTGTTTAATTGTTTTAGCAATTTTAACTACTTTTATATACCGGTAGTTACTAAATAGTTTACTGTTATGGTAACAGACAAAATTGTTGGAATACGCTAATTTTAAAGATTACCACTCAAATAGGGTGTAATTAGGATATATTAATTCAAAATTAAACTGTATTTATGTTGAAGATCATTCATACACAGAATATTAGAAGTTCATTATTTGTATGACTAAAAATTACCTGATGACATAATTTTAGAACTAAGAAAATCATTTGGTGCATTGGTTTGAAAAGAGCTGGTGTGGCATAATGGTTTGAGCATTGGACTACAATTCTGGAGACCAGTGTTTGAATCCCTACTCAGCCATGTAGACCCACTAGATGACCTTGGGTAAGTCACACTCTCTCCACCTCAGAGCAGTGGAAGATAGCAGATGTGAATAACTGGATCTGCAGATGGTGCCACCGAGAACAATTTGGATTCTTGGGCCATGGCCTGCAGTTTCAGAAGGGGAGACTTCTGGCAAGGGATAGGCTGAACCTCACATCTGTTGGCAGAATGAATTTCAATACAGAGACATGTAAGGTAATACACTTATGGAGAAAATGTGAAATGCACAGATATAGGATGGGGGACACCTGGCTTGACAACAGTACATGAAGGGGCTCTCAGAGTCCTAGTAGACCACAACTTGAGCATGAATCAACAGTGTGATGCTGCAGATAAATAAAGCCAATGCAATTCTAGGCTGCATAAATAGAAATATAGTGTCTAGATTGAGGAAGTAATAGTACCACTCTATTTTGCTTTGATCAGGCCTCACCTAAATATTGTGTACAGTTCTAAACACCACAATTTAAAATGTATGTTGACACGCTGGAAAGTATTGAGAGGAAGGCAACCAAAATGGTGAAGGGCATGGAAACCATGCCGTATGAGAAGTGACTTAGGGCCTGAAAAGACTGCCAGAAATAATCTAGCTTGAGACCACTTTAACTATCCTGGCTCAATGCTAGGGAATCATGGGATTGTAGTTTTTTTCTGAGACATTGAGACTTCTCTGTCAAATAGCTCTAGTGCCACAATAAACTACAGTTCCCATGAGTCTATAGCCCTCAAGTGGTCTCAAGATGGATTATTTCTGACAGTCTGTTCAGGCCCTTAGGGAGCTGGGTATGATTAGCCTGGAGAAGATACGGTTATATGATATCCTTGTTAAATATTTGAAGGGATGTCATATTGTAGAGGGAGCTAGCTTGTTTTCTGCTGCTCCAGAGAGCAGGACCTGGAGCAATGGATGCAAGCTATAGGAAAAGAGATTCCACCTCTTCCTGTAGCTTGCATCCATTCCTGACAGTAAGAGCTATTCAACACAGCAATACACTCCCTCAAAATGTGGTAGTCTCTCCTTCTTTAGAGTTTTTTAAACAGAGGATGGATGGTCATCTGTCAGGAGTGCTTTGATTGTGTATTCCTGCATGGCAGGGGGTTGAACAGGATGGCTGATGAGATCTCTTCTCTATGATTCTCTGATTCTAAGGCTGTTTTCTTTTTCCTTACAGTTGGTTGCTGCTTCTGCTGTGACTGATGCCATTCTAATGTTGATATTCAGGTAGAAAAAAATTGTAAAGTTGAAATTTACCATGGTCTATTTCACACTACAAGATATCATTTGGACTGTATTTGATGCATCCTACAGAATCATGGGATTTGAAATTTGATAAGGTACTAGCAAGGAATTATAAACATCTAACAAAGCTAGAAGTCCCAGGATTCCATAGAATGTAGACATGCAAATACAGTAGAACTATAGCATTGTTCTACTGTGCAGTGCAGAGATCATTAACCACAACCAATAAGGCTTATTTAGAAAGGGAGTCAATGTCTTAAAGATCCCTCTCTTTCTCTCTTTCTCTCTCCCTCTCTCCCTCTCAGGGGGGTTGCAGACTGCCAGAAATAGTACAAATTGAGTCCACTTTAAGGGTTAGGGTTAGGGTTATGGAATCATGGGAACTGTATTTTATTGTGGCACCAAGAGCTCTCTGACAGAGAAGGCTCAATGTCTCAGGAAAAAAAAAAAACCAGTTCCCATGATTCCCTAGCACTAACCCTAACCCTAAAAGTGGACTGAATTTGCACTATTTCTGGCAATCTGCAACCCCCCTCAGTCTCTCTCTCTTATTCCTTCCTTTCTTCTCTCTTTCTTGCCCTATATGCAATCTTTCACCCTATGCTGCACCTCAAGGAGCACTTAGGGATCTTTCACATTAGACTATTAAAGTCGAAGCATAGTGTTTTAACTCTGTAATGAGAAAGGACCCATAGACAGTCTTCAGTTTCACTTCTGTAACCAGGTCCATTTAGCAATCTGGCCATACATCTTAAATATGCTGATTTTTCCAAACATTTCCAAAGGTAACTGTGGTTACAATAATCCTAACATGATATAAACAAAGTATAGGTCTTATGGCCAGATCAGGCATCCCCAAGAACTGATAGAGCTAGCATACTTCAGTCAGCCCTCCATATCCATGGATTCTTTATCCACAGATTCGGGCATCCATGGCTTGAAAATAGTCAAATATATATATAAATTCCAAAAAGCAAATGTTGATTTTGCCATTTTACTATCCATTGTATTTAATTAGACTTGACCATCCATGGCTTTTGGTATCCATGGGTGGGAGGGGGAGCTGGAACCAAACCCAAGTGGATACTAAGGGCCCACTGTAGGTTTACCTGTGTACGCTGATGACACCCAGATATATTTCTCCATGACCAGATCATCGTC